ATTGTCGTGACAGGCAGAATAATGTCGTCATTTGGCCACCCTACCCCATATTGTCACACCCAACCTTAGAGAAAAGCGCTGATATCATCAAACTGTTGCAGCGTGTGAGAGTGTTATATTAGAAAAGAAACTAAAGTTAGGACTTCAACCGAAGGTCAAAATTTCGGCACGTAATTATATTTGGCCCTCCTACATTTTAGTGTTTAAAAGGTGATTAATATCTCTCCTCTATTTGACTTTAAAAATATAGTTTTAATCCCTTAAAATGTTCGAAATTTAATTCGAACAGGGTTAAAGTTTATCAAGACCTTAAGGGAATGTAAATAATGTAATTAGTTCGTCACTACCCTTAAAGGTCAAGAGTTCAAGATGTAAGGAACGTTTTAATCCTCTATAATGACCCTTCGAATCCGTTATAGACTTGACTTAAAAAGGATCTTTATGGATAAAACGAAGACGTTTTTAAGCCCTTTAAAGGGCTCCTTAGGGGTTTAGAAATTAATTATATGTTGTTTAATTTTAAAAGGATGCGAAAAAGGACTTCTATAGTTAATTTTAAAGCTTAGAAAGGATTTAAAATATGAAAAGTGGAAGGAGTTTCTAGCTATTTTTATATAAAAATTAAAGAGGGGAAGCATTAAAACACGAGATATTTTGAGATAATTTCTTTAAAATTTACCATCCAACACTTAACCGAAAGATTTATTTAGTGTTTATACAAAATAGTTTTTACTCTCCGGCCGATTAATCACGTAAATGCAAGCTGGATCCCGGTAATTTTTGCTCACTTTACTCAGCCTCTACCATGTCTGGGGGGGATAGCGTCACGTGACTAAATGACTAAGAGTCCTTGGGTTATTTAGAAAATTAAACTCGCCCGCCGCTCCAGGGCGTGGCGGAATGGTCTGATTAAACGGTTCCTCTGATGACCGACGATGTTTGCCCGCCATGGGGTCAACCTGTACCTTTCCTCCTCCCCCCTCTCACTCCAACACGCTTCAGACTATCTATTTACACAGACAATTCGATACTTACTCTCTTAGGTACTACGCTATGACTGGTAATTAACGACATCTCTACTGCTCCTATACCATCAGTTATTTATCCCCCTTAACATAACCCCCCTGATAAATCTAATTCACTTTACATCTTTGTAACTTGTTATATAAGTAATAATAAGTAACATAAATTTTAAAAATAAATAAATATATATTAAAATTAAACCCCCGTTCCTTTAAAGATTAAGCTTGATGTCCCTTGTTTACTTCAAGTTTTCGCGCTTAATCTTGGGTTTAAATTGATTTATCCTTGATTAAAATACTTCTAGACCTCCTAGATTTTAATTTTTTAATGTAAAATTTATTAATTTAACGTTTGTTAATGATAACTGCTCGTTTACGAGGGGTTGTAATTACTAAATGATATGTACTGTAAGAACAGAAGATAACTCTTTGCTTATTAGAAAGATCCTTGTTGAAAAGTCCTCTTTACGAGGAAAATCCTTCTTGTTTATGAGGAACGTTCTTCTTTCTTAAAAGGTCACTTTTGTTGTGAGGAAAAATCCTTCTTTCTTGAAAAGCCTTCTTTGTTGTGAGGAAAAATCCTTCTTTCTTGAAAAGCCTTCTTTGTTGTGAATCCTTCTTTCTTGAAAAGCCTTCTTTGTTGTGAGGAAAAATCCTTCGTGTTTCTTGAAAAGCCTTCTTTGTTGTGAGGAAAAATCCTTCTTTCTTGAAAAGCCTTCTTTGTTGTGAGGAAAAATCCTTCGTGTTTCTTGAGAAGTTTTCTATGTTGTGAGGAAAAATCCTTCTTATTTATGAAGAATGTTCTTATTTCTTGTAAAAATCCTCAAAAAACAAAGAGGCATCTTCTCAAAATTTTCTCTTTTATTCTTTAGAAGGATATTCTTTTAATATTCTACCTTAAATAAAGTATTTTGAGGAAATACACTCCTTCATAAATAAATTTGCAACAGGTTATCCTTCACACTCTTCAAAAAACAAATGGATATCTTTCAAAGCTCTCCCTTATAAGCGATAACCCCTTTCATAAATATAAAGTTTTTCCTCATAAACGTAAGGATATTCTTAATAAATCAAGAGCTATCCTTATAAATTTAACAACTATAGAAAGCGATTATTAATATTTAATCTTTATGTGTTAGGTGCATTTTAGTTCATCTTTCTTTGGTTAGAAGGTCTGTTAATCCTTTAAAAATTCATTTTTTTAAAGGAGAAAGTATAGAAGAGATCGAAAATGTTCCTTTTTTTCTTCTTCTTCTTTACTTTCTCTCTTAAGGACGTGAGATTTATTTTCTGGAATGGGCTGCGGCCAAAAATAAAAATGGTTCTCCTTTTTTGAAGAGGATGGAAACACGAGAACTTCTATCTGTTTGTATGGTGTTTGCATTATTTTATTATGTCTTTATCCATTAATTTTGTTCTTTTTTTTTATAAATATTTTTACCAATTTTTATCTGCAATTTACTTATTTTAAAGAGAGTTTTTTTTTTTGTAGCTAGAATCGTGAAATTCTTGACTATTTATTGACAAAATTCTTATATTTTACCTCGATTTTCGTAGATAATTTACATATTTTAGCGCTTTAATACTAAATATATAAGATTAAATGTGTATTATACACGTTTATAGGCCCGTGGAATCATTATAAATATAGGATTTAAGCTTAGAAATCTATCGAATTGTTTACTAAACGTTACGCAGATCCGTGATTAAACTTCATTTTTATCCAGTTTGCATGAATAATTATTATATTTAAAAATAAAAGAAACACGTGATAATTTGGATGAGGGGGGTGTTTTTTAAACAGACTCCATTACTTTTTTATACACCGAGGGATGGAATTAGATTACTTATTTAAGTNCCTCGATTTTCGTAGATAATTTACATATTTTAGCGCTTTAATACTAAATATATAAGATTAAATGTGTATTATACACGTTTATAGGCCCGTGGAATCATTATAAATATAGGATTTAAGCTTAGAAATCTATCGAATTGTTTACTAAACGTTACGCAGATCCGTGATTAAACTTCATTTTTATCCAGTTTGCATGAATAATTATTATATTTAATTGTGATAATTCTCTTATAAGTATTAAAATTAATGCTTTATCAACTGTATAATTATATAAATTTATTTTTAACGTAGATTTCTGGCTTATCTTTAAGAGCATCAAACCCATCTTACATACCCCAAACTAAGTTCAGGTGAATAATTTCCATTGCTGAGTTGCCTTTCTTATAGATTAAACACAAATAAACACATCTATAAGTCTAAATTATGCTATTTAGTCTCACTATTATTGATCCAAATGTATAAAAGTGGAGGGGGAGTAGCCTATACCAAAGAAATCCATAGAATTCCAGCTTACTCCTTCAAAATTATGGAAAAATCAACTCTCTGGATTATTTTTATGCTAATTTAAATAATAAAATAGTATATTTTATGATCTAAAATGAACACTTTCTTTATTTTAGTACAGAAAAAAACATATAGTAGGCCTCATTTATGTGTATTTGTACTCCTATATGGCCTACATTTTCGGGTATTCTTTATGTAGATTATGTGTCCTATAAACTATATTTTTAATACTATTTAGTACATATAATGTACAGAAAATAAGCGTACAAATGTATAAATAGACCTACTTATTTACCTACTTCTTCATCACTCCTCCTACCTTTCATACATAATTTATATAAAGCATCCCTTCGATAGGGGTTAAGATATAAGATAAAAAAATCCTTTCATTTATGATATTATTTTAAATTTAAAATCCTGTAAATGTAGGGAAAATCAAGAAAATTAAAGCCTTTAAGGCACAATTACTAGATGAGTTACGAGAGGCAGCTATATATTTTCATGGAGTCTCATACCTTTTAAAGGTGATTATACAGGAATGATGACGTCATAACTGTCATACAGTATAATTAATTAAATTGATTTATCGTGTGTAGCATTAGCACTGCCCAGAGGACGAGTTTAGGTTATCAAATGATACATACATTTACAGCAACAAACAGCAACAGCACACATACATACACTTTCAGTTGAAGTTATAACGTGTGATTTTTTTTATTGTTTAAGTCGAGAATTTTGTACGAAACATTTCTAGATTCGTAGAGAAGAAGAAGAAGAAGATAATGAAGAGAAAAATATGGAGTTAGAGTTAGAAAAAAGTGAGCGAGGAGGGAGAGAAGCGGTGCATGATCAGTTGAGACAACTGGTCAGCACTTCTTGCTGCTAGAAACGATCGAGAACGTCATTTCTAATTAAGAATTTTCTGCTGTATAGAGAAGTTTATAAAAAAAATCAATACTTACTGATTTCTCTGCAAATCTCTTCCATGGATCATGAGAATTGAAGCGTCAAAATGTGAAAAAGTTGCAATTTCTCTTAACTCTCTCTCTCTCTCTCTCTGTCTCTTCCTCCCTCTCTCTTGCTCTTCTTCTCCCTTTTTCTTTACATCTTTTTCAATTTTATAATTTTAAATCTTGATTTATAACCTCTTAAAGTTTCTCTAATTCGAAATTTCTTTAAATTATTTAACTCTTTAAATAAATTCCTAACTGATGCTAACTCTTCTTTATCGCTTTCTCATCGAGATTTTAACTTTAATTAAGTTTAATGTAATTTAAGTTAAGATTTATGTAGATTTTTTAAAAATATATTAATAAATTTTATATTATATAACGGATAATTTAGCAATTTCGATAGATAATTAATGTCGTAACACGATTATTTAGACAATAATTTGATAGATTCTATCATATTTATACACTCTTAAATTGCATCCCTCCATTGTTCTTCATTCCTTTCGCACCTTCTGCAGACATTTTATCTATAATATATAAGATAATTATACTCTATAACCGAATCCAAGCGTAGGAAATCGTTTGGGGGGTGGCCAATCCCTTTCAAACTGCTCCTACGCTCGGAAGATTAGAGGAATTTTATTTTAAAAAGTGCGGATTTTACAGGATCGTCAGGAACAAAGCAGCGGAGAAAGCCAAGAGTGCAGTTGTCCATCAGACAGCACCAAACGGTGGAAGCCCACAGACGCAACCTCCTTCCAACACCACTTCGGTCATCACCCACGCACCACCAGCTGCACACGAAGCAACGGCGCTACAACGTCCCTCCTATTCTATTAACGGTATACTTGGTATTCCTAATGCTGATCCTAATGTCAACAAAAGGAAGCGGGAAGATAGAGGTAGTGTGTTCTAGCTAAACTTCTTCCTTCTCTACAGAATTAGGTTATAGCAAAAGCTCTCACTCTATTTGAAAGTCAGCGGGCGGACCTTAAACAGCACAACTTCTAATACGTTTAGGAGGAATTCAACATCCTCATCGATCTGCTCATTTTCTTCGTCTTCTTCTTCTTCTTCTTCTTTCTTCCCCCCTCGTTCGTTTCTTTCTCCATTCCTTTAAATGTCAATCCCCCCTTCTACACTACCAAAACCATTAATTTAATACAGTAACCTGTATAATTATATAAATTTATTTTTAACGTAGATTTCTGGCTTATCTTTAAGAGCATCAAACCCATCTTACATACCCCAAACTAAGTTCAGGTGAATAATTTCCATTGCTGAGTTGCCTTTCTTATAGATTAAACACAAATAAACNGTCAACCCCCCCTCCTACACTACCAAAACCATTAATTTAATACAGTAACATAATCATATCCGCGTAATTTTAGGGGGTGTTTTTACGCATTATAAACACCAGAAACTCGATTAAATTTTATGAACTCCTTTGTTTATGCGGAGGTGATTGAATTTTACTTTCAATTGGCGACTTCTTTACTTTCACTCCAAGTCCATGTCAATGCGGGGGATGTTTGTCACAGGTTTTTACTATCCGGAGCAGTGAGAAAATTGTGTTAGAAGACAGTCGTGCCGACTCGAATAATGGTATTAGGGAGTTGGGAGAAGTACGTGCTGGCCATGTTGTGCTTGAATAAGGCATGCCGTCACTCGGCTTCTAAACACACGCCATGTGAACCAGATAACTCCTACTTCATGGACCGGTGGTGGTAAAGATGTGAACGAGATTTACATGCCCTTAAAAACATGTTTCCCCTTCCTCTGCTTTGGTTCTTGTGTAGATACCTCTTGAATAGGAATTCCTCTACACACTTACAGCCTCTTACGTCTAAAATATATATTGTTTGTTTCCGTTAAGGTTAATAAGGATTTATAAGGTTAAATTTTTGGGTATTCGTTTACGAAATGGGTCGTTCTAGCCCCACGCCATAGGGATATTACAGCTATCGTACTGTACAAACGGGATTAATATACTAAAAAAGGCTACAGATTTCCTCTCTTAATTAAAATTAATTAAGGTTTCAAAGTGATTGAAAGTTTATTTCAGTGAAGGGGAAGATTTTTAGGGAACGAGAAGGAGGAGGAGGAGGAGGAAGAAGAACAAAACATTCGGTATCCCTTCTCATTGACGTTTAAGCTTATAGATTAGGTTAAATAAAGATAAAAGAAAAGAAGGGGGGCCTAAAGGACAGGTTAGTTTCTTAATTTAAATTAAATTAAGCTTGTAAAGCGATTTAAAACTCAATTAACGTCGAAATTTTCGCGCGCGTGTTTACACCATTAATAACAAAGGCCATATATAAAAGGCGCAAAAGCGAACATAAAGCGATATTTCATGCAGGAAAACATTTGCTGGCAAGTTGACAGCCAATTTTTTTGGGTTCCCCCCCTCTTCTTCAAAACTGAACTCTAGCAAACTAAAAACAACGTATCTTGCCAATGCAGTACGTTTGTTTTCCTGTTCTTTGACCACTTTTCTCTTAACGGGAGATCCAACATGTATTGTTACTACAAGATACAGAAGTAGAGGGCATCCAGGGACTCAACCTTACCATTTCTCTATAGACCTATAACTCGCTTGTCGTTGACAGGCCCTCTGTAGACCACTGAGGCTATAGCATTGAGGTCCTTTCTACTGAAGACCCAGTTGGTGGACGATCCCACGGTCAGGACTCGATACAGATGAGCGATCGCACACAATCACCCGTTTGGAAGGAAGTCAATGAATAGTATACATCTCTCTCTCTCTCTCTCTCTCTCTCTCTCTTTCTCTCCCCGCGGATAGCAACTTTTGGGAGAGGACAAAGTTTGGTTTCTGGCTCCCACTTCCAATATAAATTAACAGGCAACACATTCTAGAATCGCCAAATATCAAAGTTCGTGTGTCCTTCTTTACGTTATGAAACAAAACGGGGTAGTCGTGGAGATTATCGAGCCGCCATCTTTGATTTCACGGCTGGAAGACGTATCGAATGGTATGGACGACAAAAGACGAAAAAATCCCTCGGTTGGCCACAACAAAGTGATGAAATAAAGTACGGTATTTTCCCTAAGTCTAGGGAGAATGTTCGTGCAACAAAAACTTCCCCCCTAATCCTAGGGATTCAAAAAATCGACCGGCCATGACGAAGGAAGGCAGCCATTGACTCGTAGCTTTCCAGCCGAGAAATTGGCTGTCTAGTGGTTCTATCAGCATACCTTTTATTCTTCAGCTAATTTTTGGCTTGGTTGATGCCTGATTTAAGTGGAACCACAAAGATTAGAATCGTGATTGAGCCAAATCGATCCATAGAAACTCATTAATGCGCCTCTCAACTAAAGATACGTCGTCTTCTCTCCTTTGTAAACATACCTAAAAAAAAAACATGGTGTATAAATTAGTACAACATGTTAGTCCCTAAAAAATGTGTAATATTTTTTAAAATTGGCCTCACAAAGGAGGTTGTTGTTTGTATCTGGCGGTTCCCTTTCTACGAATGAAGAGGGGATGCCGTTTAACTGTCACATTCCTTAAGACAACATGGAGAATAACATGTGTTGATGTGACAACGGATGCACGTGACGTATTCGGATGTTAAACTTCTTCCTTTCTGACTCCATTTTTATTTTTTAAATGTTGCTAGATAATTGTTTATGATTACAACATTATTTCGAGGGTTTTACATTGCTTTTCCTCCTCTTTCACCAACGCTATATTGAGGTAATGTTATTTATATGCTTCGTAACAGGGTTTTATCTAGATTTTAAGTTAGAATGACTGTTATATTATTTATTGTAGCCTTAATTTTATATCAAATTATTCATCGGGAGGCTTCTGAAACGGGAAACGGAAGATCTAATTTCATTTTTATATATCTTATTGCTAATTTAAAGCCTTCTTAAGCCTTAATAACACTAACTTCTATCCGTTGTGTAGAGCTAAAACTATTGCTCTATTCGTAATACAATGCCTCATCTAACCCCAACTTATACAGCTTTTAATGTGTTTATTCCCATTTAATAAGCCTTTTTAGGCCTTCCATACTTTAAAAAAATCAGATTCTATAATATTTACTCTCGTAAATTTCCTTAATTTAATAGAATTATAAAAGTCTTTTCCAACGATAAAATTCTTACGTCCGTACGCCTTCAGGCTCATCAAAGCCTGAAGGGAAATAGCCACATTAAAGATTTCGTAGCCAAAATTACAGGATTACAACCGGTTAATTCAGGTTAAATGTTTAATTTAAACGAAGATACTAATTAAGGCTTTGAATTTATACAAAGTGAGAGCGTTAATTAAACACATGCAGAGCCTTTTAATTACGAAAAAATAAAAAGAAAAACAGATTTAGATGAAGATAACAGAAGCTGTACGTACGGATTTTCAATAGAAAGCCTGTATTTTTTTTATATTTTTGTTGCACTTTACTATCCGCACTTGGAAAGGCTCTATCTGTATTATATAAGAGGGTAAGGCTTTCATCAATTGTGTGACGATGATTGGTGTTTCCCCGCTCTCGATAACCTTTCGTTGGCCGATAGGAAAGTGTTGTAATTACAAGGCCAGTGGGTCGCTTCGATAAGAACCATTGGCATCTCTTGGGACGAGTCAATAGACAGCTGCTGCATTGTGATCGTTCCACTCCAGCACACATCGCAGCCATCACTTGTTTTCTGTAATTTCTCCTCTTTAACTTATCCATAACCGCATTTTAACGAGCTCCATCCCCAAATGCGCTCTCCTCCTTCGTAAAAATCCAAAAAAAAAAAGATGAGGTAGAGCGAATTTCAGCACCACTCAACTAAACACTTTCCCTATCGGAAACCACGCGATGGGAGAGCATTTACTACACATTAAACACTAGAAAATTTACAAAAATATTAATTAATAACCCCCGAAGTTCCTCTTAGAGAAGGTGATATTTTGTAATGTTAAGGAGAGCAATTTTCGTGCAGATGTTTAACCATTCCTGCTGGGTAATGCAATACGTGTGGAAAAAGAAGTACAGCAGGGATAGATAGATCTAGTGACGTTAATGACATCACAAAATGACATTCTATCGGGCGAGCTTGTTCATCCATATTGATTGTTGGTAATGCAAAGACGGCTGCCAGGCATACCTGAGCCTTCGTGCTTGCAATACCAATGTCAGCGACTTGCTAAGAACTAAATCGGTAGTTGATGTCATGTCGGACTTAGCATGTCGTCAATTAGCGATGAACTTAAACAGAATGGTTTTTATTTACGGTGGTATCAGGCTCCTTGCCAGGAGGATGTCTGCCATCTCATAGCTGGGGTTCTGTCGCATGGAACGGAGTGATAATGCATGTCATTAAAGGAACTCTTCTCATAAAACGTCATCGTAAACAAATATAGACCCCTTTTTTACTTCGTAAAAATAGATGCAGTTATTAAGCATCTCTTTCGTTTCGCTAAACTTTCTGATTAAACAGCACTTTCTACCTCGGAAGGGGGATGTTTAGTCCAGAGATTTCGCCTATCTTATAATAAACCTCTTTATAATAACGAGATCAAATCTAACCCCTGTATTTTTCATGTTAAATAGCTTAGATCTTTACAATAAAAGCTTCCATGGGCAAATTTCTAGACCCTCTGTACCCTTAAATATAGCTGCTATATCTACAAGCGATTTTAAGATAAAAACTTTAGTAAATTTTACTTTTTTTTTTCTTTTTAAAGTTACATATATAGAAACCTTTGCTGGAAGAAACCCGAGAGCCTTCGGATAACTAAGATAAACCCTTAAAAATAGCTAAACAATCGTCTTATCTTTGTGTAGAAACCCTTTAAGAAAGATGCTAATAAATTTCGGAGACCTTTCTGTAAAAATAATTTACTTATAAAGGCCTCTATAATTGAAGGCCTCCTATAAGCAATTGCTCAATTCTCTTATCACTAATGGAAATTTTTACTAAACTAGATCGGATAATTAAATTAATAATCGTTAAAGTTCGCTTATTGATCGGTTGGAACTTAATTGGAGTTGTTGAGGGTTGATGCACTTGGTGCCGAGATAACATAGAAGGGAAGATCCCCCCTCTTTGTCCCCATCTGTTTCTCATACGTAAGCTAATCTTTCCAATTATTCAACAACAGATTGAATGTGTTCCTACTGGTAGATATAATCGCTTGGGATTGGGTCTGCCTTGTTACCCATTACACTCATTGTGGTTTAAACAGCTCCGACAACCCCACTCTCCTTCTAATCTCTACAACGTTGTATGCTTTGATGGGGTATACACTTCTGGTCAGCGAATTTTCATAGATAAACATCATTAAACTAAACGAATACAAGCTTACACTAAAACTTAAACAGGTCAGGAAGTGTTTTTAATAATTTTAAACCGTGCTTTTCTCATTTCAAAACACTAGAAATGCCTTGCTCTTTATCCTAATTTAACCCCATTTTGTTAAATTTTAAAATATTAAATCACCTTTTCTTTTTTTTGTATATTTTAACGATATAAAATTATGCTATTTTAATCATAATTTAATCATTGACTGTCGGTTTAAATAAATAAATAAATAAAAGAAGTGTAGCAATAGAACGACTTCGCCTCTTCGATCTGTCAATCAGAGGAATGTAACTCCTCCCGTCTGTCTTCTTTCAGCCAATGACGGTCGAGATTTGAATGGTGACCATTCTATTCACGACGACGATAACAAACGACAGAGGACGCAGTACAATGGAGACCAGCTCTATACAAATGTGAGTTGCACATTTTGTCTAAGTAAATCTCATAACTTTACCACCTCCTCGTGAAAGAAAACACGGGCAATTGACGCTAGAACGGGTGTAAAACTTTAAAAAAAACGGTCACAATACGACTCCAGAGTGTCGAGATACTTAATAAAAGGTGGTGTAATTAATAGAATTAAAGAAAACCCTCCTGTCACGACACTTAATAAAATTACAAAAAAAAAAAAACCCTCCTCTCTTTCTGTTACGTTCTGACGTTGTTAAATCCTTTTATTTTGTAGCAAATGTGGCCTAAATGGCCGAAACAGGAGGAACTTAAAACCACAGCAATGGTTCCAGATTTGGGTACTGCTACAGCTGCTGTATCAGCGGGTACACCCTACAGCCTCCAACAGTTTCCCGAACAGGCATTCACACCGGTGGTGACTACGGCCACAGCATCCAACGAGCATGTTAAACAAGAGATCACACCTTATGAGGCCACCATGACATCTATGACGTCACAAGTCCAATCGTCGGCCGTCTATTCGCCTCCGTTAGGTGAGTTTCGAACCCGAGCACGTTATGGAGAATGGTGCAGAATTCAGTTGGGATGCCAACTGCGCGCTTATATATATATATATATATTTTATTTATTTATTTGTTAAAGGGGGTGGAAAATCCTATACGTGGAAAAAAAGACGTCCTTCGAGGATCGGATTCTCAAGGTCTCTTAGGAGATTTTGACGTTTGTTTGCGAGTTTTGGGTTGGAGGGATGTCGTTTCTGTATCCAATGCCTTTTATAAGTTTAAAAATACCATTTTCCTTTTATAAAAGAAACCTTTTATAGCTGCAGAATTTATATAAAAATCCTATTTTTTCTCTTTTTTAATACTTCGAAATATTATATTTTCAAACATGGGTTTTTCAATGCAATTTATGTCTACTTTTTTAGAGAATAATAAAATATTCTCTTCACCTTTTTACTCCTTAATTGTTTCTATATCTTTTATATTTCTATTCTAAATATCCTATAAATGAGCTTAAAATTATTTTTCAACTTTTAATCTCATTCTTACCCCAATATACCTATTTTTCTATTCTCTAATAAGGTTTATATCCTGAAAAAAATCATTTATTTTTTTCTGAATGCTTCTTTAATCTTTCTTCAACCCTCTTAAGCTCTCTATCTAGCCTACTGCGATTCTAACCTCCAACCTTACATCATCCTTAAAAACCTTAGATCCTTTTATCCTATCGTAAAGTTTATCTTAAAACATTTTAATCTATCTTAAACACTATTAAAATTAGCCATGATACTCCATTCACGTGCCATCCCTACACTCAAACAAATCCCTTAAAAACTCTCTTTAAAAAAGAGCAACATTCCTTAACACTTTAACACCGTTTCGTCAAGTTAATTATAAGAACAGAAAGGTTTTGCTTCTTTAAAACAACCTTAAAATCCTTACAAAGTTAAACTTATCCTACCTTAAACCTTATAAAAAATTATCTAAAGTGTCATTAAAGCATTACATTTCCTTCACGTATCATCATTACACTCTAAACAATTTTCCTAAAACTTCCCTGTAAAAAAGGGGGTGACATTCCTTAACAGTTTATAATCAAAGGTCAAAAGGTTATAAGATATCATCAACAAGCTTATAAGGTTTTTTTTTTCTTTCTTAATTTTTAAAATGCTTCAAATAGATTTGGGGAGGATTTTATAACCGATCTTAAACCTCATTACAAATCCTCTAAATCCCATAAAAATGATCTAAACAACAATTAAAGCACGACACACTGTCGACGTATCCCTAAACCTCAAACACGCAAACAACATCCCTAAAAATGGAGGGGATCATTTCATGAAAAGATTAATTGTGGGGATAGAAAGAAATCGCCAACAAGCTTAAATGTTCCTTTCGCCTATAAAATTCTTCCAAGCCTAGGTCTTTCTTAGCCTCGCTAAACCCTATAAACTATCGTCTACGTATCATCTCTACACTTCAAACACGCAAAAAACACCACTAAAAACCTCCTCCCTAAAAGAAAAAGAAGAGAACATTCCTTAACAGTTTATCACCATAAAAGGTTAATTATGGGAACAGAAAGATACCACCACAAGGTTTAAAATCCCCCTCAAATCCAGGCCTCTCGTAAGTATCATTTAAAAACTCCTCAAATCTTATAAAAATGACGTAAACCATCATCTACGTATCATCTCTACGCCTCAAACAACAACATCCCTAAAACCTTCCCCTTAAAAAAAAAGGGGGGGGGGAGAGTAGGAGAACCTTCCTTAACAGTCTATCACCATTTCGTCAAAAGGTTAATTGTGGGGACAGAAAGGTGTCACGGCGACGACATTTCACCAAGTGGGATTGTTCCCAAACTGCACATACACAGAAATTCCATTTACACACCGAAGCAGAAGCGTACACTACAGATTTATATACAGTCCTCTGTCAAAATGCACTAAGAGTAGCTGGATGTGTAAAGTAGTAAAAAGTGGAGTAGAAACTTGATAATTTATTGGTACCGTTAGCTAGTCCTATCTAATATGGCAGACTGCTGGTCGGATAGTGATAGCAGGTTCACCCAGCCGTAACTAATACGTTCAAACAGATGCTGAATTTCAACAAAGCTAACCAGTCAAGTAACAAATTGAGTTTTATACTTCGTTGAAGATTTTTCAACACCCGCCACACACACACACGCGCGCGCACACACACATATATATACACACACGCACATACACGCGCTCGTACTCTACACACACTACACAAACCGAACTTCGATCTACTTCCGTCTCGTTTTTTTTTTTTTTTTCTTCTTCTTCTTCTTCTTCTTCCTTCCCCTTCTTCTTTTTCTTTTAAATACTTAAAATCGCCTCGTCTCATTTACTCGTTATTTAAATTATTGGTTACTCGTTCGTTCTATACTTTATCTCGTTCTGTTAGCGAAAGATTAAGATTATCGATAAGTTTAAAGGGGATTTTTTTTTATTTTATTTGTAAATCGAATTTTAATGCGTTTTCCTGAATAATTTCGAAATTTTTTTTTAGTAATTTTATCTAATTTTTGAGTTCGTTTTCATTAACACAGCTTATAGAAGCGCTTCCTTTGTGTATAAATCTGTTTCTAGTCTTGATTCGTGGATTAAAGTCTCCATATTTTAAAAATGGAAGACGTTTTAATCGGGGGAGGGGGGTTTAAGAATGAACACTGGAAGCAACTGTTCGTAATTTTATTTACCGAATCGATTTTGGGTTTAACATTCCGCCTATTCGTCGAGGCGTTATCGTGGCGTAGCTCTCAGCGGGTGTGATGAAGAGTGAGAAAGTTAACTCTCCTCCCGGTTGCTTCTTCACCAAAACATTTATTATCCATCAAGGTTATGACCCTTAGCAACCCTTTTATTCGACTTCAGAAGAGGGAGTAGCTATTCTTCCATCTGTCAATTAGGAAAGAAGGAACCAACATGGCCCCCCAGAGAGACGGGAATAGCTGAAAAGTTTGTAGTTGATGGCACGAAAAGAGGAAAAAAAACAAGAAGACATCCCGTCGACTAAAGGATGCATTCAGAAACAAACTGGAAGAAGTAGCAGGAATGTTTCATTCCCCCCATTCTCCGAGAGGCTGTATGTCACTTAATGTAACGTTGTTTTCCTATGGAGATGGTTTTCGCCGTTAAAGGGTGACTACGAGGAATTTCTCCCTCCTCCTCCTTCTCCTCCTCTTCTCCTTCTCCACCCCAAAAGGCTGCTTCTCCTGGTTGTTGGAAAGACAGTCGATGAAGCCGATTCTTTCTTTTTTTTTTTTTTCTTCTTCTTCTTTTTCTTCTTTTTGGTTCCTCCTTCCTTCTTCTCTTGTCTTGTGCGACAATCAATGTTATTAGCGGCACTCCGATTGTGATTAGAGACAGGAAGTGTCGCTACAATTGTCCAACTACAACGAGGTTGTCGCAAGACAGCACTCCCTCGAGTGTATTTCTCTGGAGTGTTTTGTTGCCAGTCTCTTATCTGGGAATCTCGGTAAACACGGATTGAGTCTTTTTATGGAGAACTCCCCGACAGGAAACATTCGTAATGCGTTTAGTAATTTAGGCAGGTGATGCTCTCTCTCTTTCGCTCTCTCTGCTCGTGATATGGCAGCTATCTTTTTATTTTATTTTCGGTAGTGAGAAGATGGATGAATTCGAATTTTACCCTAGGATTTTTGTCCTTTGAGATGCCTGAAACAGGATCGAGAATAGGACCGTATTCCCCTTAAGCTTTCCAATATTTCGAGCCTCCTTTGGCACCTCAATCCTTCACCCACTTTAGCTAACAGCCTGGACCCTGCTGTGGTAGTTACTATATACTCCCCGGCTGAAAGGCTCCCTTTTTTCGACCCTAGGCATGTGCGTAGTGTTCCTAATAGTTAAAATGTCCCTGGTCAAGAATCTTAAGAGGTTACTAACACGAAAATATGAGTATATAAGTATTTTCTTAACTGAGTAAGAGACATCTTAACAGGATTATCGACATTTTAAACAAATTTTTCTTAGATTTTTGCATCAAAAATCGCTCGATATTAAATATAAAACACCTTGCTTTCACGTGATATTAATTATAAAAATGTTGAATTAAATTGAACTGAATAAATGATAAAAATGTTGAATTAAAAATGTTAAATTGCAGGTTATTCCGATCTTGAATTATTAATTTCCAACAGCTTTAAATCTGCAATTTCATAAACGATCAGTTTCTACTTAATAATAATTAACGACAGATGTTAATTGCAGTTAAACTAAATTGCGATTAACAAAATTATAATTTTGTTCATTTATAATTAAGAGTTTAACAGAATTGCAATCGACGATTTAAAAACATTTTTATTATTAAATTGTTAATTACAATTGTTTAATTGTAATTAACAGTTTAATTAGAATTAAACCTTAACTGAAATTAACATTTTAACTGAACTGTAATTGACAATTTAAAAAATAAAAGTTAAAATGTTAATTACAATATAATTTAATTGTAATTAACAGTTTAAACCATATCATCAATTACGATTAAACAAAACGGAAATGGACATTTCAACGAAACTAGAATATACAATTTTTTTTTGTTTTTTAAATGTTAATTACAATTTAGCTTAACTGTAATTAACGTCTTAACGAGATTGTTAAGTACAATTAACGTTTTAATTGTAATTAACAATATCTATTATTATACAACAGCAGAAAAAGCTAAAACCAATCTAAAACGATGGCACATTTTACCGACTTCCTCAATAATATGAGGGCTTAAAAAAAAGGGAAAAATTGGCAATAAGCGGTCACATATGACCGATCATACCTTTAGAAAATGTTACATCCATCTTTAGAAACTATGACTCATCACGGGGATGCAGTAGAGCGGATAAAAATGATAAAAATTAGTGTTTTTTTCTTTCTTTCTTTCTTTTAAGTTATAACAATATTTATGCCCTCTATCTCTCTATATATAAATATATATATTTTTTAAAGAGTTTTTCTGCTGATTTTTTTGTATAGGTAGTGGCTCCTTGACACCGCTCACACCTATCAGTATGCAGGAGGTTAAAGTTCCCATGGTGAACACCCTAGGAACCATTTTAGATACAGGTTCCGATGTTCACCATTATCAAACAGGTATTTTTAATGAACATTTTTAAAGGAAAATAGGAAGGAAAAAAATGATGGAAACAGCATGGGTGGAGGAATAATTTCTATTTTAAAAAAATAATAAATAAAGCGCTGTGGTGATGGTTAAGCTGGTCTGTGTGCTTATTATTAATCTAATCTCTGCTTTATTCGTTTATTTAATTCCATTCAGCATGTTTATTATATAATTATCTAACATGAATTTATTATTGATTATTCTGCTAATGTTTTTTTCTTTTTAAATTAATTTTGCATAATAATATTTTTTAAATTAAGAATATTTTTTAATGTAGTTGTTCTGTAATTATTAAAATTAAAAGAATTCAATTTTATTTTGAGCTTGTCGCATTTTCTATGCTATGAATATGTTAATGTTGGCATTCGATAATGCTGATGTTGGAAGAAATGTATGCTTGCGTGACGTATTAAATAAATTTAATTTATTTTATTTTATTTTTAAATTATTTTTAAACCTTGCTTAAAGTTTGTAAAATATAAATATGTACTTTTTATGAGTGTAATTTGGAAGATTTTTGTACTAAAAAGAAAGGGAAAGTTTCTTATAAAATCATTACAGAGCAACTACAGATAATGCTTAATTGTGTATTGCTTTAAATTGTACAATGTTGTACTGCATGAAATACGTCAGCATGTGACGTCCCGCATGATTTCCCAGTAGGCAATAGTGACGTGACTAGTACACCATCTCCGGCAATGGCTGAGACCCCCACGTCTTCTTCGTGCCTGACCATCTTGCAACCCGTCCAAGGCCCAGCACTTAATGCTGTCAACACGTACGGCACCACCTTAGGTACCTACGGACAGTACCCAGGCAAGTGACTTATCACTACAGCGCATATATATATATATATTGTTTTCTTTTGTTTTTTAATATTCTTCTTCTTCTCATCCTCCTCTTCCTATGCTCAAAACTGGGAAAAAAGTTTATTAAAAACTTAAACTAATTTTCAAATAAAATAACGCAAGATACATCACAGATGAAAGTTAACAGCGGTAACTTACCGCAATGCCCCTTTTGACAAAGAGGCATTCAAATTATTTTTAAAAGTATCATCCCTGTTATAATCTTAATGGACTATCTTTTCGGATGTCATCGGGAACAACCCTCTTTTCGCCGACGTGTATTGCAAAAGGTTGGAATTCCATCACGTTCCTAGGATGGCGTTTCACTTACAACAATATATATCACGTCTGAGAATCCGAGAAATAAATCTGCAAAGGGGGGGTCGAGTAAAAAACTCGTGTGCCAGATTATTTAATCTGGAATCGAGATCAGTCAGACAAGACGGATGATACCAAGCATGCCTTACTAATCAATCTATACGCGTTCTAAAACACCCCTCTCTCTCCCTTATAAACTTCTCTTGTACACTTTGCCAAGTGAGTTGGCGTAAGTTTAAATAACGTCCGCCAGATCTCGCTGTTGAAATATGAGGATGACATGGAAACAATCCATCAAGACAGACTCTTGTATCACCGCCAGACAAATAGACGTGTACTCCGATGACTTAGCGATAAAGTTTCTGGCAACTAACCAGTAACGTTATAACACTAGAAGGTCTTTATTACGACGATTGCAGGGTTCGAAACTGGCAACAGAACAACAGGCGCCTTCATAATGAAGAAGGAGTTGTGTGGGTGGAGTAGAGGACGGCGAGAAACTTGCTACAAAACATCTGACTTCTATATCAGTAGCTCATTTTAACTTCTCATGTTGTCAACAATAGTTTTTACGGATTTTTTAAAGAACAAAGGACTTCCTTGTATGTAACAATACTTTTAACTGAATATATATATATATATATATATTTTTTTTTTCTTTATTATTTTTCTTTTTTTAAACATGCTTCAAGGAACGAATTCATCCCCTGTATCTTCTTCTTTCCATTCTCTTACATACCATAGGCGTATCTTTATTATCTTATTGTTACTTTATCCTGCCAGATGTTTTTGTTGACTTTGCTAACAAAAACAAAAATAATGCTATATTTACTGTTTAGTCTCTTGAATTGTAAGGTAAAACGAACGATTATAAATAATTCGAACTTATTTTTTTTTCTTTTTTCTCTCTTCTTCTAATTTTCCTACTTTGTTTTCTCTTATCCCTTTGGGCTCATTTATTGGTGGTTCCTAATGGTTTTCTTCAGATGTGTGTGACAGTCTAGACAAGTGTAGGTTCTCTAACGATAAATCTAGACCTGGTAATTAAATCCTTGTGATTTTTATACACAAATTTTACAGATAAATCGAACGTATAATGCGTACTTTTCTGTATTAATTAACACGAGTTAAAGCAGTAATTTTTTAAGTAAATTTATGCTTAATTATTCATATTTTATTAAAAATTTAACGTCTGAAGGTGATTTTTAATACATTAATACCGGTTTTAAAGAGAAAATTTTCTTAGAAACAGCTTAATAAATTTAATCTTTAAGTTAGTAAATCAGAACGTGCATAAGTATTTAAGGGCTGATTATAGGTACTCCTTACCTACTTAGTCTTATTGTGACCCTATAAAAAAGCCCTTTCTCTCCATCAAATAACGCCTCATGTAAAAATACGAGGCCTTAAACCATAGACTCATAATTCCAGGCCTTAGTCTACAGCAGAGGTTTATAAATAAAAATAAAACCTTTCACTTAAAACTGGTTTGGGAAGCGAAATTAAATCTTAATTACGTGTAATTCTCTAAAGAACATCTCTAGTGTTTTTATTGTATAAATTTATATTAAAAAAAATAATCATTTAGTTATCAAGAAAAAACGACTCTTTGAATAAAATTTAAACAATAAAAGTCTACATCCGCTCGTCGTTGAATAGAACTAGACTATTTAATGATCGGTTTGAGTAGAAAAAAATGATGATGTAAAAGGTTATTGATGATGTTCTCGTTCCCTTCTACAGTTGCAGGAACGGCAGTAGCAGGGCCCACTGTTACAGGAGTTCCTGGTACAGAATATACTTACACCACTCCATACAGCCAATATTCATCAGCAGCTGCATACGGAGCTTATGGATATGGTTCTGGTGGGATCATCAGTATGTATTGGTGAATATTCATCCTGTTACTCTGTCTTTATGTAGTTTGTAAGGTAAAGAACGTGTTGAGAAGTGTGCCTTGCACATATTTTAATCAAGTTAATTACTATTAATTACTAAAGAGAAGATAGAAGATGAGAATTTGATGTGCTATTAACGATACGCTAATTGCACGTCTTTAAAGTTTATCGGATGTTAAATTAAGCGTTTTTTTTAAATCTGAAATTTAGTTTTTTACATTTATTTTCGATAAAATTTCATCTACGAAACGAAATTTTACGGGAATCGAACTTAATCTTCCGTCTTATATGTACATATGAAATTCGTCTTAGTTTTTTTTTATTTAAAAATAATAAATATATCAATAAGAGGTATAAATATTAATTTATACCACTTACTGATATAGTTATAAATAAATCTGATCAAAAATTTTAAATTAAAATGCGAAATTTTTAAAGAAACGGGTCTAAATATGCCGCTACTATATTTACACTTCATAAATGTACTTAATATTAAAGAATTAAGTTCGTTCTTAGTAAAACACAAGAAAATATATTTTAGTATATGATAACTTAAGAATAATTTAATATAACTTAAGCAATCGTTGTAGAAAAGGCCATTTGACTTAACCCATTTTAACAATCACGCATCACCCAATGGCTACAAACGTAACTGAGGATCTCATTTTAAATTTCAGATCCTTCTTACTACTACGGCACGAGTGGGCGTCCTGCAACTACCAATCCGGGCCTGACATCATCAAGTCTCAGTCCGAACTACAAATCATCCGAACGTTGCTAGCTAATCCGCCAACAACGGGGGAGAGAACCAAAAGTGTCTGGTTGTGACGTCA